ATGTTTATTCATTGTGGCAGGGTTTCTCAGACCACCACAGAACTTCCCTGAAGCTCCCAGGACTCCCTCGCGGGCCAAGCCGGAGCAGCTCTGCACTTTCATTGCGGGGAAAGACAAGATGGCTGCTCCTTTGGTGGCGGCAGCAGCGGCTGAAGCCGCGGCGAAGAAGAAGTGGCATGGCCTTCTCAGTGGAGCCCAGGCACTTCACAGACGCTGCTCCGGCCCCGCGTTGGGCCTCCAACTCCTGACTGGAGGAGTTGGGTTTCCGGTGACTTTGGTTTTTTGGTCAGCAGGCTTTTTCTGAGCCCCTTCCTTCTTTTTCTTTTCTTCCTGCTTTTTCTTTTTCTTTTCTTCCATCAAATGTTCCTCTTCTTGTGTTTCTTGTTTTTCCTTCCTGGGCTCCATCCCCGGCAGCGGCAGCTCCGTGGGGCTCTGGGGGGGCAGCTCCTTATTTACTGTCTTCTGTATCCAGAGCAGCCCCGGGCAGGCAGGTCCCTGGTCAGCCGAGGAGGCGGCCGTGGCGGCAGCGGTGGTCTCTATGTAAATGCTTTAAAAGTCTTGATGAGATGGATTATTTTGATTCTGGGACAGCTGCATCTGGCACGGGCCTCAGGCTGCTTCTGTGCAGCTCGTGGGGGTGTCGGTCCGGGCCACAAATGGAGCACACGGGACTGCGATTGCTCTGGCTGAGTCAGCGAGTGATTCTGGAACAGCAGCATGTGGCGTGGGCCCCAGGCTGCTTCTACTCATGGCGGAAAGTGGCAGGCAGCTGGCAGGTACAAGCAGATCACATGGCCAGAGGAAGCAAAAGAGAGGAAGCAAGAGCTAAAGGACTAGTTTATGATGAGCATTTGCTACTGATTGTAGCTATTTCCAATTTTCACATATTTTAGCTTCATAGATGTTATCTTACAATCTCTTAAAGAATAATTTTGTGAATATGTTTAATCTTTTTATGTGCATTGAAAGTTTTATAGAATGGTATATCTTTTAAAAACCATTATTATTATTAACATGTTTTTCTTCTCTCTTAAGACTTAATTGTAGGAGCCTTTGGTGTAGATCGAGCTGTCTTATACAGGTGAGCGTGTTCCATATCCTGTAATGTAGGAATATTCTGAATTATTTGAAATATTTTTAGTTAAGTGCCAGTGTTTGAATATCAGCTTAATTTCTTGAAATAATGACAATATTTGTTTATTCTTCCTATTCAAGATTTTCTTCTTTTTTTTTTTTTTTCTTCTGAGCAGTAAGAGGCCCCGAAGCAGTTAACTTTCCCGGGACCCTCCAGCAAGAGGTATCCCTTCCTTGGGAAAATTAACGGCAAATAGTATTTATACAATGAAGCCCCAAAGAAGATAAAGTTGTAAATTTTTTTATTTAGAAAAGTGTTCAGAATTTTGCCCCTTTGTCCTTTAAGTTATGTTAAAGGGTATTCTCCTGTGTTTTTAATCTCTCTTCAAAAATTGTACGAGTTTACATTTTCTTATCAGAGGCAGGAAATGAAATTGGTGCTTGTGCCTAAGTATTCTATGACTATAAGGGCTGTATGTATTGAATTCCAAAGTGAATATTTTTGTTAGAGAAATATGTATAAATTTTCATATCTCTATTTCCCAGCTTCATACATATTCCATTACTTTCTGTATTTCATCATTTCCTCATACCTTAGAATAGCAACTGGAATCCCAAGTAGATTAAGATGTTTATACTTTTGTGGATTGAATTTATCCATGGCAGGAAAACTAACATTTGTGTTGTGTAATAGAGTTTGTGATGGGTCAGCTTAATTATAGCTATAGAGGCAACATGTGTACTCACAGATTTCAGGGATTTATCCTTTTTGATACAGGCACATTGAGAGCCTACTATATTTTTGTGCAGGATTTAAGCCTGCACATCTGAACTTTGGAAAACTATATTTATTTTAATTTATTGATTTAGTTTTTAAATTGCTATTAATGAAGTAACAGTGGTAAAAAAAATTAAACAATACAAAACCAAACATACAATAAAAAAATATACTTCTGCTCACACCAGTTACTACTTTATTAGTATATCCTACCAGAAGTATTCTATGCATTAAAAAATCATGTGTAAGTATGTATGTGTGCCTGTAGATATCCTTTGTACATTGTGGGTTTTTATTTTTTTCTCTCCTACTAAAATTATATCTTGGATGTATTTTAGGGATCACCCCATACTAGCACAGATGGCTTTATGGCACTCATTTTTCCCACTGTATTGCATTGTGTTAGGTAGATATCCCATGACTTATTTAACCGTTTGCTTTAATGTACTGAATGTAAACAGGCTGGCCAATTATCCCACTATGCCTGGAACTGAGCTATTTCCCAGCATGCAGGGTTTTCAGTACTAAAATTAAGAAAGTCCTGGGCAAACTGAGACAGATGGTCATCCTATGTTTAGGTTGCTCCTATTCTTTTTCTTATGGCAAACAATGCTTTAGTAGACATTGCACTGTATATGCAGTGAATGTGAGCCTAAAATGCTTATATCAATCAAACTTCCTTAAAAACTTTTTTCTTTTTTTTTTCCCCCACTAGGGCCAGACCAGTTATCACAGTAAATGCTGGCCTTGAAGTGTACCCTAGCATTTTAAATCAAGACAATAAAACCTGCCCACTGCCTGGAACAGCTCTCAAAGTTTCCTGGTGAGTTTATTTGTTTACTAATAGTTATTATTGTGATTATCAGTTCAATCATTGTAAGAACAATTGAAAATGAAGCGGGGGAAGGGCTGAAATGTCACTGCAGCAATTTCTATGGATACTCCCTATTTTCATGTCATAGATTGGATTGTGGAAATAGTTCTCCAAAGAAGATATGTAGAAGGCTGCAAAAATACTCTATAAACTAGTATAAAATGAATTTTTAAGAATTATGCATAAACAATGAATATATTCAAAAATAAGGAAAAGCTAGTAAGATCTTAGAACTCGTTTATATTTTATTCTAAACAGGTCTATGAACGTTGTAATTTTTGAAAGATATGTTCAGTTTTAGATTTAATATCTGTGGGTAGCCAAATGAAAAAAAATTATTTCACTGTAACATATTGGTCTTCCACTTGCCCATTTATTATTTTTAATAGAATAAATTTATTTTTCCAAAGAAAAATAATAATATTTTTTCATAAGTTAAATATTTGAATTCTTCTTTAATCCATTGTTTCTCAAGTCTCCATCATTTACATGCTACTTTCCTGATTTTTTCCTATCTTTTCATTTTACCTGTATTAAAATTTTCTTAAGATTTTCTTTAAATTGACTCGTTTTACTTCAAATTATTTTAAAATAAAATGGAGAAACCAATATCTTTCTCATACATCTCAAAGTAAGTATAAAAATAATAATGAAAAATCTTGACCTATATACTATTAAAATCACCAGTTATAGCCCAACTTGAGAAACACTGTTCATTTTTCTTTCTCATACAGAAAAATAGCAGAGAATTTACAGATGAAGAAGAGAATGATGATAGTTAGCAAAATTTTGTTTCAAAAGAGCTAACGAAAGATATTTTTTCTGATTTTGTTTTTGAAATATTTTTGAGTATTTTTGAATTATTATTGTGGTTATTGAAATTTTAAAGAAAAAATTTTATTGTATTACATTAAAAAATTAGTAATATTTGCTCTTCATTTTTATTGACTGGTAATGAAATTGTTTTCAAGATTTTGGCTTTAAATTTTACTGTCTTTCTTTTCTTCTCTCACCTTGCATGTCCTGTGAAGTTGCAAATAATATGCTTTTAATAATCCTAAGGATTCAAATGCACTAACTAAAGCGGTAGCTTTTGTGATTTTGACCATGGCATAGTAAGAAATATATTTTACTTCATAATCCAGCAAACATGTGTAATTAAAGCTAAAGTTTCACAAAATCATATTAACCCTTGATACTTAGTCAATTTTATTTATTTAATTTGTATTTTTAAGAAGCTGGACACAACATATTAAACCAATTTCATGACTTGTCAGGACCTGTTGATAAATTGTGAAAAACACTGTTCTAGAGGAGCTTGCTAATTAAAAGACGCTTCAGTAGTGGGTCTTTTTATTAAGTGAGACATTACTAAAATCATTTTATCAACAGGTTCTATAAATGAGAAGAGATTAGGAAAATCTTTTATTTCCCCCTTTTGTTGTTGTTGTTGTTTTTGTTTATCTGTTTAATTCTTTTTCAAACTTTTTTTTTTCCTTCTTCTCATCAAGCTACCATGAAAGGAAATGTGCTTAAATTACTGAAGGATGAGTTAGTCTGTATAGTTTCATATTTTAAGAATAATATTAACACATGAAGAAAGATATAAGGCTTTACAAATATAAACTATATATTAGAAATGTGAGATCTGGTTGTTATTAAAAAATATGTCTAACTGGGATTACAGGATTTACATATATATTTTATTTTCCTGCAGTTTTAATGTGAGGTTCTGCTTAAAGGCAGATGGCAAAGGAGCACTTCCCAGGAAACTTAGTAAGTATCTTGTGAAAAATCATTATTTTAATGCTGTTGCATACACATTTTCATACGGTTTTCAGATATTTGAATAGTTATTCAAACTGTTGTTATTGTTTTTCATTTGAATGTTTATACTTAAAGACATTTAAGGTTACAACATAATTACTTTCTTTGGCAACTCTTAAGACAATTCAGAAATAATTTATGAACATCATGAGCAAAATAGTCCACAGAATGGCAAACATATGGACTTTAGCAAATTAAGCAGTTACCAATGTGAGATAAATGAACTCTGGAGGAATGAATGTCATTGTTTTTAAGTAAATGATCTACTTTGAAGTTAATATTTTATGTCTTGGGGAAGCCTCCAGTGATCTCAGGATAGAACTTTAGCAAATTAAGCAGTTACCAATGTGAGATAAATGAACTCTGGAGGAATGAATGTCATTGTTTTTAAGTAAATGATCTACTTTGAAGTTAATATTTTATGTCTTGGGGAAGCCTCCAGTGATCTCAGGATAGAGGTGTTTAGAAATAGAAGGAGGAGAATAGATTTTGGTCACTAAGTTTAATCCACACAGCAAATACTACTGTTCCTTTCCTAAAATGGTTTATGTGGTCCTGAGGACAAGGTAGGAGTGTTAAATAATTACTGCCAAGATTTGTCAGTATGTTAGTGACAAGACCTAAGAGATAATATAATAAAGCAGAGAACAGGACTGAAACCAATGAGTGTGGAAGTTTATGTAGGGTAGCCAAGCAAAGTTTCACTGCAAGATAACTTTTCAGTGGAGACCTGCAGGAAATGAGGGAGCTACAGGGTGTCTGGAGGAGTATTTCCCACAGAGGAAACAGCAATTTCAAGAGGCGTGCAGCAGGTGTGTGCTGCTTGTGTTTGAGAAACTGCAAGGAGGGCGTTGTGGCTGCCTAGAACAGAACGTGAAACAAAGTAGCCCTGGTCTTGCACCTGAATTTGAAATGAAGGTCAACATTTAGAGAAATTTTGGAAGAGACTTGTGGTTTTAAAGACTTAAACTCATCTCTTTTTAAGAAACTACTTAAAGAACTGAATCTTAGGAGTCACTAATCCTAACAACGGTGCTTC